AGTTTGTTTAGTGATCCAGGAAAGAGGCTTGCTGCAGGAATAAGCAGAATCTAATGGCTGTCATCAAGAAATCAACCAGTAACAAATGCTGGAGGGGCTGCTGGGAAAAAGAAACACTTCTCCACTACTGGTGGAAGCGTAGACAGTGGTACAACCACTGTGGAAATCAGTGAGGAGATTTCAGGAAACTAGGATTAGTGGTCCAATTCAACCCAGCTATTCCCCTTCTGGGTATCTTCCCAGAATTAAAAACATCATACCACTGTGGTATATCCACACCTATGTGTATAGCAACACAGTTTGAAGTAGCTAAATCTTGGAAACAACCCAAGTGAGGAATGGATGAAAAGGATTTTTCTTTTAATACAAAGGAGTACTACTGAGCCATAACAAAGGATAAGTTTGAGACATTTCTAGATAAATGGATGCACCTTGAGACCATACTCTTATGTGAAATAAGGTGGACACACAGATATAAATATCACATTTTCTCCCTGGTGTGCGAAACTAAAAAAGTAAATCAGAACCAAAATGTACAATAAATGATATGAAACAGGAAGAAATTGTTCAAAAGGAAAGAGGAACTAGGGAGAGAGAAGGGGGAAAAGAAGGAAGGGAAAAGGAAAAGAAATGATACGAAAGGATTAAACCGAAATAAAGCTTTGTAAATAGGGAGGGGAAGAGGGATTGAAAGGGAGGGGAGGACTAGGAACAAAAAGAGGGATCAAAATCCATCATGTACAGGTACAAATTCCCTATGATGAATATGATCATTACGTGTATCTAAGTTGTACCAATAAATGTAACTTTAAAAAAAGGGCTTGTTTTAAAGGTGGAGTGACATGATGTTTATAGAAAGATGAGAGCTGAGGAAGAAGGAAAAAAATAATAACAACACCAACGTGTCTCGGTGATGTCATTTATTAAGGTGGGTAGAAATCAGCTCTGCGGAAGGAGAGTGACTGTGTGCCTCTACTGTCACAGGGCTCCCTCTACTATCCCAGGGCTCTTCTTTGACCTTTCTACCAGCTGAGCACATCGACGCTATCCACTGCAAAATAAGAAAGTCCTCATGTTTTTGATGCAGTTTCCTGGGTTCATGGTGTTCCAGTTGATTTTCTTCCCATGATCCTCTTCTGCAATCCTGTGTATGACGCACATGCGGTGGAAGCGACATTTGTAAGAATCCGACCTTTACGTTCCCAGACATAGTTAGTAACTCTCCTACCCTGAAAGCTTACTAGCTTTACAACATTATTAAGACATATTTGATTGATATATATGTAAATATGCTATAAATAATTATTTACATATGGACCATTCTGAATCAAGCTTCTTATAGGCAGACTTTGTATCTGATATTCCTAGAACCTAACTAATGATTAATATGTCTTATATGCTCAGTAAATGGCTATAAACTTAGCAACTAAGTATCATGCACTGCACAGGACATTGGCACAACATGGGTTATGTCTTCATTTTTAAAGGAAATGAAATCCGTGTCAGAAATTGTGCAATACACTCAACTTTAATCTTGAAAAAACTCTGTGAAAAACTAGGGGCCAGAAAAACTGAGGAAATGGTCCAGGGTTATGTAGTAGGTAATAAGAGCAGAGATTGTTAATGAATCTGACTACAAATAACCACTCATTCTCTTGGAATTATAAAATTTTGACATCCCATATGGATGCCACTAGCAAGAATTGGTCCTTCAAAAGATGAAGTGTTACTAGTCAGAAAGAAATGTTCTGTAAGTGTAAAATGTACACTCCAAACTTCAGAATTATTTAAAATGTCAATGCAAAAATATAATGTTAATGTTGCTTATGTGTTGAAATGACATTTGATGAGATATTAGGCTAAATAAAATGTATTATTCATTACTAATAATGTCCTGAATTTAATTTTTGCTTCCTTAAAAGTGGTCATTAAAAATGTTAAATTGCATACATATTTTATGTTATATTCTTTCACTGCTGCTCTAGAGATTCTGTTACATCTGAAAAGGGACACTTTCAAACACAGAAACCAACGGTAATAAAATGAAGGATATGATCAATGTTTAGGAGAGCGACAAAGTGCTTTAGGACTTCACTGACCAAAAGGTCACTTTTGACATATGAGAATGGGGCAGATAACATTGAAGAATAAGGCGGATTTTAATGAAAACAGGTGAGATAAATTTTTTAGTAGAAAACAGAATTATCCAATGCGAAGATGAAGCAAGGAGCCTGGCAGGAAGTTGGTGTAGTGTTTTACGACAATACGCTAGGTATAGAACCAGAGACATCAAGGCACGAAAGGTGCGCTGAGGATGCTCACAGTCAGAGAGCACAAAAGACTCTTTTCTCCAAGTTACATAAAGCTAGTGTGTGTCATGAATGACAAATAGGAGGGAAAAGACAAAGAGGTATTTCATTATCACAGGGAGGTTTCAAAAACAAATGGAAGAGGAAATTTTCCAAGAAATACAGTAACTAATTGGATATGGTTGAGAATTGAAATCAGGACAGGAGAGGACTGATGAAAATCATTTGAACTTACTTGATTCAAGGTTCCAAATGCTAAAATGTGACAGCTCAGAACATGAGCTGACGAAGCCTTCCTTCCTGCCTGGCTCCATTTCCTCCTCCCTTCCCTCTTTCTCCCTCTCTCCCTTTCTCTCTCCCAGTCCTCTGTGTCTCTGTTTTGGTCTCTGCCTGTCTGTCCCATCCCCCATTCTGGCTCTCTCCAGGGTTTATGAACTCCCATTGGCTTTGAAATCTTCTCTCCACATTGCCTAATCAGTTAACTCTGAACTGTTCTTTTAATAACAACTCATTTTCACAGTGCATTTAGGACATTATTAAAATAAATACTGTGAAATAACTTACAGACATTATTTGGAGAGTTTTATTTGCACCTCAAAATAGGTGTAGATATGTAAACATGTAAAGTGTTTCTAATAAGGGTCAGGTATTGTCACACATTTTCTCATTTAATCTTAACTTACACCTCAAACAAGCACTCTGGAGTTATAGGTCCTACAAGAGAGACTGACCTGACAATAACTAAAATATCTTTATATCTTGTGAAGTAAAATATGCAAAACATCCTTGAGATCAAAACCAAAACAAAATATGTAGAGTTGAAATAGTTTTTGTGTCCAATTCCTGGAATAACTATCCTGAAGAAGTTATCCTCAGAGAAACTATCACAGTTATTACAATCAAAGTTCTGTGGTCTTTATCTCCTGCATTGCTTTACATAGAGAAAATTTCCCTTTATTCTAAAACCTTATGGCTTTTACAATGTGCAGAATGAAGTAATTTTGGAATTCTTTCATAAATATGAAATAAGACTAAGGCTCAATGGTAGAACATGTATTTAATTTGTATGTGGCTGGGGGTTCAATCTCCCATATCTTGAATATGAACACACACACACATACACACACACACACACACACACACACAATAACATAGGAATGTGATCATACACTAACATTAAAAGAATATTCCTTAAGTATTATTTATATTTGAAGTTTCAATAAACCATATCCAATATTTATGGCATATAGTGTGATATTTCAATATATGTATATAATTTGTATTAATCAAAATAGAGCATTTAATAAGGCCATCTCTTTGTCCTTACATTATGTTTGGAACTTTCTTGGGTTATTATAAACTAGTCATCCCATATAGAGATAATTATTCTAAGATAATAAAAAGAAATTTAAGCTTAAAAAGGTTGAAATGCTACTTTGATTTGATCATTATATACTATATACATATATCAAATTATACTATACATCATAAATATGTACAATTAAGATAACATATAAAACATAAATTAAAAAATAATACCCAATGTTGATAAGAAAATTCTAACTCAACATTACCCAAAATATTGTCAAAAGTGCTTTTTCTAACCACTTTGAAGATATCAATATGTAATACAACAAGCACTGTTAATTTCCTACCACTTTGTTTGTAACTCCGTACTGTCTGTACTGTTCTTTTGCTGTTTTGTAAAAGGTTGTCTGTCTGTTCATGTTTTCCTCCTTTTTTTTTTTTATTTTATTTTTTTTTGGTTTTTCTCCGGTACCAGGAACTGAACTCACGACCTTGCGCTTGCCAGGCAGGCGCTTTGCCACTGAGCTAAATCAACAGCCCTTCCTCCTTTTATTTTTAAAATAAAAACAAAACAAAACAAAAGTGCTTTTTCCAATCAATATTATACATTGATTTTCTTTAATGTCCACAGTATAAATATTATTTTCTTTAACATCCACAGTATAAATAACATTATAGGGGAAGAACTGTAGTGTAAATCAAGAATTTCTCTCAGTACATCGAATTTTAATGACAAATTGAGTAATTTAGCTTAAACTGCATAAATCACACTAAAACTAGACTAACATAATTTGAAGGAGCTCAATTAACATGTTAAGCAAAAAGTAATCTTCAAGAAACTTGTGTCTCTCTATACCGCTTATCTACCTATATAAATATGAATTACAAAACTTTTTCTCTCCATTGCAAGTGGCCTCACATTTTTTCCAGATACTAGAGATTATTAACATATAAAGGTCAAATTTTCTGTTATCATTTATAGTTATTAGCCTGGAGGCCTCATATTTAAATGCCTTTATAGTAAATATTTTAAAATAAATATCCTTAAAATTTTTAATGGAAATACTTTAATGTCGCATGTATGAATGCTGTTTTATCATTTACATTTATCTACAAGTAAACTTTAATTTTTTCCAGTTTTTAATATTCTAAAAGCACTAGGTAAAAACATCATTGTGTAATGCAATTTGGTCAAATTAGAGACTTGTCTTCCTGAAAAACTCATAATTCTCAATTTTACATTGGATTATGTATGATTTTCTTAAACAGTAAATCTTCATCCAGCCGTTTTCCCCCATCCTCCCCCGTAGTGAAATTAAAAGGAAACTAGATTTTGGATAAGTCACTTTTGAAGGTCGGAGAAAGATAATCAAGTTTGCTTACCAGAACTCTAAAGAGAAGCATTTCAAGCCAAGGTCCCGTCACATTTCCAACATAAATAGCACATTTTGTGCTGATGGACACTGAAACATGAGCTGTCAGCAAAGCTGGATTGTGAAACTCCGGACCGTATCGGATCGTATGACAGAAAGCTCTTGTTTCAAGACAAAAAGGGGGAGGGGAGAAGGTGCTATACAAAATCCAAATCTGATTAAAACTTACCACATTGACTTCTTTCAATCAGCTATCTCCCAAACTCACAGTTCAGTGTTTTTCCATCATAAAGTGACAAAATCTCACATCTACTGTTTTCCTTTCTCTTCTTTGGGAAAAAAATGCTGAATTCAGGATTTTATAAATGTTCTGTAATTTCTTCTTTTAAATATGTACTCCTACAGCCCTGCTCCAATTGTCCATAAGTAATTTGTACAAGCAGTGTAATATGAGCTCCACAATGATCCTAGATCAGACATGATCACCCTTTTTTCTTTAGCAAATCACTATGGTGCCTCCTCTGCTAAATTTGCTGGTCGGCTCTTCTGCTCTTTTTTAGTTACACTGTAGTGCTTCCCTTGTTTGCTTTCTATTTCTGCAATATCCTCTCCCACTTTTAACTAACCATTTGTTGTTACCGAGAGAGGGAAAGAGAGAGACAGACAGACAGACAGACAGAGACAGACAGAAACAGAGAGACAGAAAGAGCAATTTTGCTAAAATAACCTTAAAGATCACATTAGCGTATGACTGGGTCAAATTAGGTAAATAAAATAGTGAGGGTGAGAAGTAAATCAAGGCACAAAATCAAAATTCTCTCTTTTTTTGAGACAGGGTCTCACTAATAACCCACGCTGGCCTCAAACTCATGATCTTCTGATCTCTCAGCCTCCCCAGATCTGGGATTACAAGCATGACCACGAATCTAATTTTAAGTCAAAGTTTTACCATCTAACATTGGAGTCATACACAGAAGAGTAATGTTAATAGATTTCGTTTAGGTCCTCATTTAGAAAATGAGGATGAAGGTATTTTAATAAATATGATCAAATATGAAAACCAGTAATAACATTAAAAATGAAGTAAGTGTTGCTTTGTGATATTTTATGCTTTATCTTTGTTATTCTTTTTTTTTTTTTTTTTTTTTTTTTTTTTTTTTTTTTGGTTTTTCTCCGGTACCAGGAACCGAACTCATGACCTTGCACTTGCCAGGCAGGCGCTTTGCAGCTGAGCTAAATCCCCAGCCCCCCCTTTGTTATTCTCATACACATACACATGCCCTGCAAAATACAATTACAACTATGTCTTTAAAATAAGGAAACAGAGCCATTGAAAAAGTAGATGACACGATACATCCATATAGATTGTTGAAAATGTTGGAGCTAAAGTACTAATCCCAGCAGTTCAACTCCACAAAGGACGCTTACCCGTATTCTCTTTTTGGGGAATGCTATAAAAATCACTTACAATATTATTGGTGAAAATAATTTAGGACATAGAAAGTTTTGTTTAGCTAATAATATATTTTGAAAATTGATGAGTAGAGCTATTCTTAGGTGTTTTGTCTTTCAAATGTTCACTCTAAATGAAATAACTTCTTTGTTACTATTTTTTTCTGGTCTCACACATAGGATATATTGGTTTTTTTCATAAATATTTGGTATTTCTCCCTGCATGTGAAATAATACACAAAAGTCCTATTGAATTTGCTTCAGGAAGAAATGTAAGAAAAAGTAGTATGTTTTACTCAGGAGTCTCCTGAATTAAAGCATGCTTCAAAATAAATTTTTATTACTATTTTAACAAAACTAATAACAATTTCCTTGCTGATCTGAGATAAACATGATAGATAAATTTGGTTCTTTCCAGCCACTGAAAATTTTGACTATTTACATTACTACAGCATAACCTATTCCTCCTGTTTAAAACAACCCTAGGTTTCGCTTTCCGTGCTTTTTCTTCATTAAACTTTGTTTTAATGGGTCTCAAAATTCTGTGAGAGTTTTTATCAAGTTATGTTCATTAAAAATGTTGACTTTAATACAACTGCCACATGATCCACAAAACATTCTCCTCTCCTCCTGAAGGTTTTGGAATGCACTGTTATCATTAACTAGCCTTTTACTATTAAACTTAAATGACTAACTGGGAGAAAGAATTCTGAGACCAATATTCTTCCACTGATTAACAAGGGGCATCAGATGGTAGGGATAATATTCGTTTAGATTTCTGAGCTTTCTGGGCAGACTTGGTGATCTTGCCAGCCCCAGCAGCCTTCTTGTCCATTGCTTTGATGACACCCACAGCTACTGTCTGTCTTACACTGCAAACAGCAAAATGACCAAGAGATGATAGTCAGCAGGGCTCTCAACACACACAGGCTTGCCTGGAACCATACCTGACAGTGTCACCAGATTTCAAGAATTTCAGGCCTTCTTACCAGGCTTACAATTAGTCTTTTCTTTACCAGACTGGCAAGTCAGTCTTTTCTTTCAGCTCAGCAGTGTGAGTGGTGTGACAGTCCAGTACAGGGCACGGCCAGCGCTGGTTTGGCCTGGATGGTTCAGGACAATCATCTGAGCGGTAAAACCAGCTGCTGTCTTTGGTGGGTCATTTTTGCTATCACCAGCAATGTTGCCACAATGAACATCTTTGACAGACACATTTTTGATGTTGAAGCCCACACTGTCCCCAGGAAGAGACTTACTGAATGTGTAGGTCACTTTTGGTAGAGTGGATGGACATTTTAACAGTATTATGTCTTCTACTGCATGAGTGTAAGATATATTTCCATTCACTTGTATGTGTTTTTTTATTTCTCCTAGCAATATTTTATAGCTTTCACTGTTGTGGTGGAATAACTAGTGCTCAATTTATGACACCCAGATGAACTGAGTCAGTGTGGTTCGGGCCATGGAGGGCCCACCTGAGTATTATTACCAACAAGATAAAAGGAGAACTACAGGGGAGGATGGTGTGCTGTTGATTCTCCTGCAGAAGCTTGTCACACTGGCTTTCCTGGCATGAACTCAGCTGTTCTTATCATCTGAGGAGCTCTGGTCCTTGCTGTTGCTGAGGATGGCTGTGGTTCTTTTTAGGAGAGCTGCAGTCCTTACTTTGAGCATTGCTTCCCAGCTCCAGTGCAGATCCCTCAGACTGTTGACACAGATCCTTCATCCCTGTGGTGCAGACTTTCTAGCTTCCACTACTGGTCTTTGGGCTTTCACAGTGCAGATTCTTGGTAGAGACTTGCATGAGATACTATCATGGGCTCTAGGCTTCCAGCTGGACTTGAGGAGGACACTACCATGGGCTCTAGTTCTTCAGCTGGACTCATGCAGGACATTGCCATGGGATCCAGGCCCTCAACTGGATTTGTTGTGTCTCTAGCACATGGACAGCTGTTTTGCACAATCCTGCATAGGACTTTTTGGGTGAATATTAGAAAATAATCCTATAAATTATGTCTTGTATGAAATCATCTATTCCCCTGAGTTTGATCTCCAGTATAAACAAAAAACTACTCCCTTGCATACTCTAACTACAAGTGTACTTTTTTACTATGTTGATGATTTCTACGTATTTTTTCTGTTCAGTTTTATAGAAAATGGAATTGTTCTTTAATTATTTTTACTGTGTTATCATTTGTAGAGTACAGGAGTACAAATGAATTTGGAGTGGTGATATTGTATGCTGAAACTATGCTGAATTCATTTATTAGTTCTAATAAGAATAGGTTTCTGAATCTTTAGGATTTTCTATGTGTACGATCATGTCATTTGTGAACAGAAGTCATTTTAATTCGTCCTTCTTCAGTGTGAATGGATTTTCTGTTTTCTGATTGTTCTGCCTAGAACTTCCAGTATAATGTTAAATAGTAATGGTTTGAGCGGGCATCTTTGTTTTCTTTCTGATCTTACAGGAAAATTTTCCAATCTTTACAACTGAATATGATATTAACAATGAGTTTTTTTATATATAACATCTACTATACTGAAGAATTTTCCTTGAATTCCTAGTTTAATGAGTGTTTCTTACAAAATTATTTCAAGTATTTTTCTGCATTAAAATCATATAGCTTTTGTTCTATACTGTGTTATTGTGATATATCATATTTATTCATTTGTGTGCATTGAATTATCCTGAATTTGAATATAAATCTTATCTGCCATAATGTGTGATCCTCTTAATGTGACTGTTAATTTGGTTTGTTAGTATTTTCTTTAAGATATGCCATCACAATTTATCAGATATAATGCAGCATGGATTTATAATGCTGGTTTCAATTTTGTAGCCTAATTTACTGCTGTTTGATTTTGTATACCCCTCAAAATAGGAAATTTACTAGCAGATCGTTTACTGGGTGCATTTGAAAAGAAACAGACATACTTGGGGGGATGATTGTGTTAAACTGATACCTATACTCAAGCTTAATACAAAGGTAGTATCTCTTGATTGTTGGAACCTGTGAATCTGTTGCTCTACATGACAAAGAGGATTGAGATTGCAGATGGAATTAAGGTTGTTACCTAGCTGATAAAAAATTCATCAGAGATATAATGGTCTTTACTTATCTTGTATAATATTCTGGTTTTGATATCAGGGTAATGTTGGCCTCATAGAATAAGTTTAGGAGTGTTCCCTCTTGTTCAGTTCTTTGCAAGTATTTGAAAAATTGGTATTAATTCTCCTTTAAGTGTTCAGTAGAATTCTCCAGTGAATATGCCTGGTCTTGGTTTTGTTGTTGCTGAGAGATATTTGTTACAGCTTCAGTATTCTCAATAGTTATGGATCCATTCAGACTTTATATTTCTTCATGATTTAGTATTGATAGGTTATAGCTCTCTAGGATCCATTTATTTTAGGTCATCCAATTTGTCTGCAAGTAATTCTAGTAGCTTCATAATTCTTTTTATTTATGTGGTATCAGTTGGAATGTCTTCTCTTTCAGTTATAAATTTAGACATTTATATATCTGGGCTCTTTGTTGATTTTATAAAAAACAGGTCTTGACATTATTGGCTTTTTGTGTTGTTTTTCTCGTTAATTTGATATCTTTCATATCTTTTGATGTAGATGTTCACAGCATATGTGTGTGTGTGTGTGTGTGTGTATGTGTGCACGCGCAAATGTATAT